ATAGAAATCCAGTTTAAGCGGGTAAATTATGACGGTCCCTAGTTTCAACTATGATTAGGAATATATGGAACTTTTTTGTTTTTAGGGAGCTTTCCAGATAATTTCAGGATTTTTTAAATGTTTTAAAGTTTTATTTGGCAATTTTAGCGATTTTTCAGGTACTTGTAGACGTAAAAATATATACATTTAAAATAAAACTGTGCTCTTAAATGTCTTAAAAGCAGAGACTGAAAATAAAAGTTATTTTAAAATTTTTGATATCAAAAAGGCATAGTGATAAAATTATGCTATAGCTTTTACAAAGGTACCATTAGACTCGTCTCTCATTGTAGATTCTGATTCCAAAATGACTTTTAAAAATATGATTTTTATCATTTTGAGCAAATAATACCGATTATTTCTGCTTTTTATTTTTTTAAGGCAAAAATAAAAGTTAAAATTTGCCTTTTATCTTTTTGAGCAGAAAATAATCGGTAATTCTTGACTTTTATTTTTTCAGGCAGAAATAAAAGTCAAAGTTAAAAATCAAGTATTCCAGAGTTGTGTATATTCGAATGTGATAGTTTTGAAGCTCCTACATGGATTTTAATAACCCCTAATACCCAAATACCGGAGTTAGTTCCAATCTATATGTATACATATACAAATGTACATACAAACAATACATGAAGGCATTTTTTGTTAACGACATCAGATCTGCACCGATTACTCGATTTGCAAAACTGAGGTGCCGAATTAAAGGGCTTAGCCTCTAGATATACCACAAGGTAGGACTCCTTTGTATAGGGTTGCCACCTTTTTTAAATTATAAAATCTGCACCGTTCGTTGTATTAAAACAAAAGAGATGACAAATGAAAGGGCTGGGCCTGTTGATGTGCAAGAAGGTCTCTTTTTTTTTGAGCAGGGTTGCCACCTGCTTCTAAAATAAAAGACTTACACCGTTCGTTGTATTAAAACAGAAGAGGTGCCAAATGAAAGGGCTGGGCCTGTAGATGTGCAAGAAGGTTTCAGTTTTTTGAATAGAGTTGCCACCTGCTTCTAAAATCATAAGACTTACACCGTTCGTTGTATTAAAACAAAAGAGGTGCCAAATGAAAGGGCTGGGCCTGTAGATTTGCAAGAAGGTCTCAGTTTTTGAATAGGGTTGCCACCTTCTTCTAAAATCATAAGACTGACACCGTTCGTGGAATTTAAAAAAAGATGCCATATTGATGTAAAGATCTGCAAGAAAGAACGTCTTATTTTTTTTTGAAAAGTGGTGCCGCCCAATTAATTTTTTTTTTTGGGGTGATCATCAGATTTACACCGTTCTGTCGAGTCTCCAAATGAAATTTCAGATGAAAAATATTGACCTACAGACCTGCTTTGGTTTTTTTAAAGGGTTGCCGCCTAATTAAAAATGCATTGTTTGAAATATTGTTACGATTATCCTCGAAACCTTGAGTGATTTCCCAAATATACTCGGGCTCGTATCGCTGGATTGTTAAATAAATGCTAACGATGACCAAATTGTAGTACAATTAACTTTATTGTCCAACAAACAATTTACAATACTTGCTAATACAGTAAAAACACTTTACAATACTTGTTAAAGCAATAACAACGCTTTACTACTTGTTAACACAATTAAACTTATAGCTTGCTTATTCGCAACTCAATTGTCCGCTTACTTTACTTGTAGCTTGCTGTCTTGTAACTAACTCACCTCGTGGTGGCGGCGCCCTTATATACCTGCGCTGGCACTTATGGCAACTCTAGAACATTCTGAAGTTTATCGCTCATTCTCTTTCTGTCGCTGTTCGCAGTGTTCATCCAACTTGACGTTTCTCTTTGTGGAACATTCTACGTCATTCTTCGAACATTCTGCCTATTTCTCGTTGTTCGCTTGGTGTTGCCGCAGTATTCGCCACAATATGATAGGCAGTAAAATGTCACAATATGGGCATCATGGGAAAGGGGTTAGAGACTAAATTAATATGTCGGTGTTTTTAATAGGATTAGCACTTATTAAAGAAATGTATAACTAGGAATGGTAAGTAATGTATTAAGGACATTCGATATTGCTATCAAACGAAAGCTGGTTAAGAGGGCTTTTGTGTAATTGTATGCAAATTTTCGATGGTTTTCCTATAGTTTCTAATTTATTGCTTGAAATATTCTAGTTAATTAAAATATTACAAAGTGGGCTTCAAATGAAAATTTATTTATGATCTCCAATAATAGTATCGAACTTAGTTAAAAATTTACTGAAAGTAAACGATAATTGATAGTTTAATACTTATTTATATTAAGATATGTACCTACATACAGTCGTGTTGCTGATGATGAGCGGAAAGCTGCCCGAAATGCATACAAAGTGTGTTTTAAATTCAAAGTAAAAATGAAATAAAATTTGATTAAAACAATTTTACAAACTTAATAAAAAGGTGTTTTTGTTTTATCGTACATTTCATAATTAAGATAGATACAAGTTTTAGGAAAAATAAAAAATAAACATACACTTGTGATCAGCTAATTAAGTGGTCAACATTTTTAACAATTTTGGTTATTTTTCTTTTGTTTACTTAAGTTTTATTATTTTTCCATAAAAGTCTAGCTCATTATTTAACAAACACCATATAAATCCACATTTCAACTCATATGGAAAAACTATAAAAAAATTGCAAATTTTCAGCTAATTTTTCAACTTTTTATTCAGTTTTTTTTTGAGTATTCATTTGAATAGCCAGTTAAATTCCAGGGCAATAATTTTCAAGTTTTAAATAGCTAAAGAATTGCGTTGATTTTTAATAATTTTTTTTTTTCTTACTACACGTAAATTTTTTTCCATACAAAATATGTATGTATATTCGACAATTTTTTCATATGGAAAAAAATGTGTCATGCAGTCAGAAAAAAATTATTAAAAATCAACGCGGTTTCTGAGCAACTTAAAACTTCCACATTATTACCCTAGAATTTAATGGGCTATTAAATT